GGGGGGGAGGGGGAAGGGGAGGGGAATTCCAGGCTTCAACAGTCCTGCAAGAAAAAAGTGGGTAAAATTAGACACAAACCCTTTATAGCTATAAGTGCTTTTTAAAAAATTATTATTTTTTAAATAATTTGCTATAGGGCATGCGTGCTCCACCAGAGAGATGGAGAGAGGGGAGGAGGAAGTGAGAAAGCAAGCTCCCACAGGACTTGAACCATGGTCAGCCATGTGGGAGTCTAGCACCTTAACCCCTTGCTACCTGCTGGCCCCCGTAAGTGCTTTTTAGAGACATAATCTCTTTATCTCCTTGTTTCTGAGGACTTAGGTCTTATAAACATCCACCACTGAAGTTACACCTCTGAGAAGGTCCCAGGGGGCTAACACTCACTGGTAAGAGTAGGGAACAATAAAGTAATAAAATTATCTTACCACATAATCTCACTTGCCACGGGAGCTAAAATGGAGCAACTGAAAACTGAGAGAGGATTTTTAATCTCTAATAATTCCCAGATCTTCCAAGTTTTTTGTGAGTGTCAGCAAACTGACCAACATTTACTTGGCCTGAAGAATAGCCAGATTCAACCACAGATACCCTAGATCCCCAATATCTCTGTGGTATCCTGATGCTATGCCTTTTTTTCCCCTTTTCTTTGTTCTGGCCCTCAAAATGAGAAATTCACTTTAGGAGTATAGGATAAGAATAACTCCTTGGGGCTGGCAGGTGGCGTGGTGGTTAAGGGCAGTGGACTTCCACACGTGGCTGACCATGGTTTGAGTCCTAGACCTGGCAGCTTGCTTTTTTCACTTTCCCTCTCTCTCCCCTACACTCTGACCCTCTCTGGCCAAATTAAAATAAAGACAACGACAGATATGATGAGATCCGCCGCCACTGGAGAGACAACATCCTGGGCCCGAAATCTGTGGCTTGCATTGAAAAGCTGGAAAAGGCTAAGGCTAGAACTCGCCACCAAACTGGGTTAAGTGTATGCTGTTGAGTTTTCTGTACATACAAGTAATAAAACACTCTCCTTCTGCCAAAAATAAGTAAATAAATAAATAGAATTAAATAAAATAATTCTTAAAAAAAAAAAAAAAGAATAACCCCTTGGAACCAGCAGATTGCATGATGGGCTCTGTTGTAGTCATGATGATTGGAGTTACAGACCTAGTTGCTTTAAACTCACGCCGATGCATGTGCGTGCCTGCCCAAAATCCCTTGAGGAAAATGGAAGAGGAGGGATTATGGTGTAGCCATCACCCTGGGAGGTGATTTCTCACTTTCTGTCTCTCTCTCTCTGGCAAGCACACATGCCCTACAGCAAAAATCTCTCTTTAAAAAAAAGGGGGGGGGGACCAGCAGTTGGCTATATCGCTGGACTCCCATGTAGTTGACCATTGTTCAAGTCCCGGACCCGGTGGCTTAAACTCACACCAGGCCTGTGTGTGTGCATGCCCAAGATCCCAAGAGGAGAATGGAGGAGACGGGACTGCAGCGTGGCCATCCACCCTGGAGGGTGATTTCTTGCTTTCTGTCTCTCTGTCTCTGTCTTTCTGGTGAGCGCACATACCCTATAGCAAAATCCTCTCCAAAAACAAAAAAAAATAATAACCCCTCCAGGGCCAGCTGGTGGCACAGTAGTTAAGGCAGCTGAGTCCCACAGGGTTGACTGCAGCTTGAGTCATGGACCTGGTGGCTTGTAAAACATGCTGGGAGTGTGTGCATGCATGTGCATGCTTGACTAAAGTCCTGAGAAGGGATTATGGTGTGGCCACAGTCCCAGGGGGGGGGGGGTTTCTCACTTTTTTCTCTCTATGTCTGTCTCCAGCACCCTATAGCAAAAACTATAAACAAAACCCTCCTGAGAATAAGGGGTGGCTTCTGGTTATATATCCTTCATATATTACTAGTCTTACTGACAAAACATTTCTGAAGCTTTAACCAGGGTCCTATATTGTCAAAAAAAAAATCTATCATTTCTCATTTCTGGTCAAAAGTGAGAAGAGAAATATCAACAGAATCATATTCGGTATTAACTCTTTCACTTTGTTTCTGCCACCATTCCGAATCTGAAAGCCTATCAAGTCTTAGAGTCAGTAAACTTGATCTACTCTCAACTTGCAGCTGTCTTGCTGGTGCCTAGGGATTAGATTACCCTCTACACCAAAGAGGCCTAACAACTGTAGCCCTCCAAGTTAGAGGCAGAGAAAGGTATACCTTCTAAACACATCAAGTAGTCTCCAGAGGATGGTATAGGAGTTAAGTCTTCAAGCAATCAATATTTGATGAAAGAATACACTGAATCAACTTCTCTACCTCCCAAGCAGGCTAAGAGAGCTGGTGGTGAGGAAGGGGACAGAGAGAGGGAAGTTGGGACTTTGAGATTCTAATTGTGCAAACCTAAATATATTTCATCATCTTAACTCTTAGGGGCAAAATAAAGAGTTATGAAATTTAAAGAGTTAACATGGGTAAAACACAGAAAAAAGATCTCTCTCTGAAATCTAAGCATTTCTTGAGTTATACTTTGCTTATTCAAATTAATTTTTCCCTGGGCTAGGTGCTGTTTGCCTGTCTGTTACTTTGGAAGCCAAGACAAGAGGATCATGGGTTTAAGACCAGCCTGGCAGTGCAGCAAAAGAAAAAAACAGGGGCCAGCGGTGTGGTGGTTAAGGTGCTGGACTCCTGGGACCAGCAGTTAGCGTAATGGCTATGTCACTGGACTCCCACGTAGTCGACCGCAGTTCGCGTTCCGGACCTGGTGGCTTAAAACTCATGCTGGGCACATGTGCGTGCGTGCCCAAGATCCTGAGAGGAGAATGGAGGAGAAGGGACTGTGGCGTGGCCATCCCCCCTGGGGGTTGATTTCTCGCTTTCTATCTCTCTGTCTGTCTGGCGAGCACACACGCCCTATAGCAAAAACCTCTCCAAAAAAAGAAAAAAAAAAAAAAAGGTGCTGGACTCTTATACTGCCAATCATGGTTCAAGTCCTGGACAAGGCGGCTAGAAACTCACATGGGGTGTACATGTATATTTGCCCAAAATTCCAGAATATTGGAGGAGGGATTGTGGCATGGCCATCTCCCCTTGGGGGTGATTTTTCACTTTCCCTCTCACTGTCTTGTTTCTCTGGGGAGTACACGTGCCCTATGGCAAAAACTAAAAAAAAAAAATACATAGGGACTAATGTGTGGTATAATGGTTATGTTGCTGGACTCCTACATAGTTGACCGCAGTTCGAATCCTGGACCTGGCAGCTTAAAACTCATGTGAGGGGGCCAGCAGGTGGCGTGGTGGTAAAGGGCGCTGGATTCCCACATGGTCAATTGAGGATCGAGTCCTGGACCTGGCAGCTTGCTTTCTCACTTTCCCTCTCTCTCACACTTGTCCCTTTCTGGTCAAATTTAAATCAGTCAATCAATTAAAAAAACTCACGCGGGGCACGTGTGCGTGCGTCCCCAAAATCCCGAGAGAAGAATGGAGGAGAAGGGATTGCGGGGAAATTACCCTCCTGGGGGTAATTTCTCACTTTCTGTCTCTCTCATTTTCTGTCTTTCCAGAGAGTACACAATGGTCTATAGAAAATATTTCTCTAAAAAAATAATAAATGAATAAATAAATGAAACAAATTTTCCCTTCTCTAGTGATTCCACAGAGTTCATATTATCATATGTGGGGAAATATTTATTTTGTCACTGTAGTGAATGTCTGTGGGGTCAAATTAGGGTTAAAAAAAAATCTCGGCAATCCTACTTACTAGGTAGTAAAGAAAAAAAATGGCAGAAGGCAATTTTGAGGACCAAAAGATCTAGTGTCATCTGGCTGGGTTTGTTTTCCAGTTATACTTACTAGCTATGAATGCTGAGGCAAGTTACTAAATAAACTAAGAGTATTTCACAAAGTTTATGGAAAATAGAATTAAAGTACAAGTTTATTTTGATGTAAATAAATTGAAATATATGCATAGCTATTTCTTTTCTTTTCTTTTGAAATTTGTCAGAGGGTGTATGTACTTACCAGAGAGAGAGAAGAGAGAGAAGTGAGAAAGCACTCCGGGGTGGGGGGTGGGGGTGGGATGACCATACTACAATATCATCTCCTCCATTTCTCCCTCCCTTTGGAATTTTGGGCACACACATATGTATATGGCACATTTTTCAAACTGGCTATATATACTTCTTTTTCCTTTTTTGGAGAGGTGTTTGCTATAGGGCACGTGCGCTCGCCAGAAAAACAGAGAGAGACACAGAGAAAGTGAGAAATCATCCCCCCAGAGGGGATGGCCACACTGCAGTCCCTTCTCCTCCATTCTTCTCTAGGGATATTGGGCACGCACGCACACATACTCAGCGTGAGTTTAAGTCACTGGGTCCAGGAATTGAACCGTGGTTGACTACATGGGAGTTCAGCGACATAGCCACTATGCCATCTGCTGATCCCTGGCCATGTATATTTCTTTCTTTTTTTTTTTTTTTTTAACTTTTTCTTTTATTTAACTTTATTTATATTTGACCAGAGAGGGACAGAGTGTGAGAGAAAGAAGTGAGAAAGGATCCCCTCATGTGTTCACTTGTTTCCTCAGCTGTAAAATGGGATAATGGTCTTGTAAGCACTTACTTCAGGATTTTTGTGTTTTTTTTTTTTTTCTTTTTCAGATTTTTGCCATTTTTTTGTCTTTCTCTGCTTGTCAGAGAGAAACAGATGGAAAAATGAGAACTTAACGCCCAGAGGAATGGCCAACTCTCTTCCTCCATTTTTCCCTCAGGATTTTGGGCATGTATGTACACATACCCAATGTGATTTCCAAGCTGCTGGGTTCAGGAATCGAACTGCGCAGTTGACCATGTGGGATCTAGCTGCCTTAACCTCCACACCACAGGCTGGCCCTACTTGAGTTTGTTTAAGGCTCAAATAACACATATAAAGAACTTAAATAAACATTTGATATAAACTAAGTACTAAACAAAGAAGTTATTAATCGTTAGGGGCTAGCAGGTGGCATTTTATTAAAGTGGCTGGATCCTATATGGCCAATTCGAGTCTCAGTGGCTTGAAAATCATGCTGAGCCAGGTGTGTGTGTGTATGTGCATGCCCAAAATCCCAAGGGGATTATGGAGGAAAAGGGATTATGGCATGATTATTTCCCCAGGAGATGATTTCTCACTTTCCTTCTCTGTCTCTCTCTAGTGACTACATGCATTATTGCAAAACTAAAAAAAAACAGTGGCCACTTTTAAGGAGAGTGGGATTGAGGCAGGTGGTATTGTTGTGAAGAATTTAGATTTGTTTCATTCTCCACAACTTTTTCCAACAAAGAACATATTTTATTTTAAAATTATTTCCTATTTAATTTTATTGTCATTATTTTATATTTTGGGTTTTTTTGAAGTTGACCAGAGAGAGAGAGCGAGAGAAAAGGAAAGTGAGAAAGCAAGCTGTCGGGTCTGGGACTCAAATTGCAGTCAGCCATGTGAAAGTCCAGTCACCTTAACCACCACATCCCCTGCTGACCCCTATTTTATTATTTTTAAGATAATTATTTATTTAGCTTTTTTTTTTTAAAAAAAAAAAAACTAATTATTTCTTGGGAACCAGCAGTTAGCGTAATGGCTGTCGTTGGACTCCCATGTAGTCGACCGCGGTTCGCATCCCAGACCTGGTGGCTTAAAACTCACACCGGGCGCATGTGCGTGCGTGCCCAAGATCCTGAGAGGAGAATGAAGAAGGGATTGCAGCGTGACCATCCCCCCTGGGGGGTGATTTCTCGCTTTCTGTCTCTATGTCTCTCTCTGTCTGGCGA